CTCATTAGGTCTAAATAATATGTTGTTTACATGTTGATAAAGTTCATAACATTTAATTTTATTTTTAATTTTTTTTTTTGCACAAACTGTATAGCTAGATTAAGTTTGCTTATCATTAAAATATACATCTCCACCAATAACTGAGATAATAAATGTGAAAACATCTCTCTTATATTTAAACTTTCAGCCTTCCATGAAGTCTCAGTGTACCCCAAAAAGGAGCTGCCATTTTTCATCTTGTTTACCGCAGGCCTGTGTTCCTTCACCGCTCTCCTGGCCCTGCTTACACATCAGTATCCAGAACCAATGGGAGTTGTTGTTCGAACGGTCAGTCAGAAAGAATTTTAAAGAAAAATGTTGTTTTGTGCATGTTTTGCAGAAAAAATAGAAACATTACTTTTATTTAGGCTGATATAACCAAAGCTGTCAAATAGATCACAAGCCCGCTTTTGAAACATACGTAAACCTTAGCGAATAATGGCTGGTTATAATATAAAAATAATATATGTTACCTCATTGAATTGATTTGAGAAATCAAAGGTGGACTATTTACTTTAGATTTGACAGTTTTTAACAATAAGGATCAAACAATACTAACTTTTCCATTTTCAAATTGTGCTTTTAGTACGTGTTTCAATAGTCTAAACATATTTAAAATCAATATTTTGGACATATGAAGGTTATAATTTGTTATTATCTCATTTTCATATGATTAAAGAAAATATTTAATGTCAGAAAGTTTCCAAAAGCAGTTAAAATGTGTGTGTGTATATTGGGGAAATAGTGAAGGACAAGTTCATTGTGTGTGTGTATTGGGGAAATGGTGAAGGACAAGTTCATTGTGTGTGTATTGGGGAAATGGTGAAGGACAAGTTCATTGTGTGTGTGTATTGGGGAAATGGTGAAGGACAAGTTCATTGTGTGTGTGTGTGTGTGTATTAGGGAAATGGTGAAGGACAAGTTCATTGAGAGGGAACAAAGAAAGTTGAGGGGAGTAAGAGCAATGCTTTGTGTATAGTCCTACCTATCAACTACTGTGTGTATAGTCCTACCTATCAACTACTGTGTGTATAGTACTACCTATCAACAGCTGTGTGTATAGTCCTACCTATCAACTACTGTTTGAAATATGATTCTGACTTGTTTGTTCTTTTCTGACTCTCTCTAGATGCTTGGCTGGCTTTATCTTCCTCTCAGTTACATTTTGGAAAAATTAGAAGCTATCCTCCCATCCAATCTGCTGCATCAACTGTCTCGGATCTAGGTAATACAAACTTGGTTCTTGACATCCATGTTTGTCTTGGTTTCATTTCTATTATCTTTAATCATCATGTTAGAAAGTTTAGACTTAGTTTCTAATAAAAAACAAATTTTCAAAAAATAATTTTTAATGAGCCACCCGCTGCTTAGTCTTCCACCCCCCACCCTTCCCCTTTTTTTCTGAGCCTCGCACTCTGTCACTGCGAAAATTGCAGAAATAAAAGAGTTATCTTTCCGTGACTTTTTCATTGTGGTGTACCACATAGTTGGGCCACAAAGAGAATTATATATATTGATGTGTAAAGTAAAAGTAAAGTTCCCCTTTCAGACCTTGATGTAAAAGTCATCTGTTTCTGTGGCCTACGGTTTACGAGGGTGTCATGTGATTAGCACAATGATTTGGGGAATAAATTTCAATTTATGGATTGAACAATTTGCACAATTTTGTTTCATTAGTTTTAATTTAAAATGTTGCCTCATGTAAATCCTCACTCTTGAACTACTGGCTAGACCACTTTGTGAAGTCTGTGGGAGGTGATATGACTTGAAACATCTGCAGATAGATTAGCCATATATTACTTCAGATTGAAACGCACACACTGCTCAATGTTTTCCTATCTTTGTTTGTCTAATATTTGTTTCTTTGTTTGATTCCAGATCAATGTGACCTGTGACAATCTACTGCCCAGCGTCTAGTTAACTCTAAGTCTGTAGATAACGTCGAAATGTTTAGCTTTGTTGTTCATCATCTTCACTCATCCTTCATCACAGACTGTGGCATTATGCCGCTACCGTTCATCATCCTCATCTTTACCAATGCTGTTACTGTTACATTTTATTTTTACCTCCATTGTGTTTCATTTTTTTTTTCCTGAACCTGATTGTATTGTTTCTGTGTCAGCTGTCTCCCTCTACTTGCTACTCTTTTGTTTGGATTCATTGAGACATTCAATGCTTTACACTAATTTGAAAGAGCACTTGTGAAGATGGATTTCAATATTAGAATTCCATCTAGTTTGTAAAACTAGAGGTTTTAGAGCTTTAAAAAAGTTTTATTTAAAATGCACATCAGGAATAGGACATCTTGTTTTGATGCTTGCTTGACATGTTGTAGAGACATTTCCAAGCTACTAGTTTTTTTTTGTTATTTATTTTTAAAGAGGTTTTTTTAATGAATTTGAGACAATGAATGACGTAGCTTTTATTTTGGATTTCTTTAGAACCAAAAAAAAAGAATCCTTTGTTGTTTTATTTTGTTCAGATATCATTTGTTAAATTTCTGATTGATCTGTGTGATAAACTTAAACACAATGGAGCTAAATTAAATTACATTAGCTTAGTCACACACACACACTATTTCAACAAGTGAATTAGATTGTATTACAAAGTATCTGAATACTCTCAGTTTCTGTCCCTCAAGGATATGTTTCGAGGGTGTACACTGGAGTAGGCTAAAATGCTTTCTAAGAGTTCAAGAATGAGGAAACCAATTTATACTAGGAAGTAATAGAACATTGATCAAAATCAGTCAAAATTTTGCCTGAATTGTAACAATTGCTGTCTAAGTGTAACATAACACATTTAAAAGTAAACTGTGACACTTGTGGTTTTTTTTTCACTGTCATCAAGCTTTCTCAAAAATTATGTTCTCTGGGCAACTAGAGTTTTTTAAAAACTGATAATTGGATACATTTTTTTTGAGCTTTCAATGTTTTGTTGTGGTTTAGGGGGTGGGTGGGGCTCTTACAAAAGTAAGAAAAGTAATAAGACTTATTGACTATGATAAATTATGATGGGTAACTATTGGTAAAGGAAGACAATCTATTATAATAATTGTTAGGGCCATCAAACAATTCTATTATAATATAATAATTGTTAAGGCCATCAGACAATTGTATTATTGTTAAGGCCCTCAGATAATTCTATTCTAATAATTGTTCAGGTTATTGAACTGTTCAGTTAGTTCTTCCCACATCCCTCCCATTGTTTTTTTTTGTTCCTTACTGCCTCTAGTGTTCACTAACTTGACTTTGGGCTCCATCTCATTCTCTTTGTTGTATGTACCAGTGGGGGTAAATGTTATAACAAGCTGATCACAAACTAGTTCAAAGATTGTATTTATTTATATATAGATTGATATAGTTTCATAAGCTACAATGATTTTAGTTCAGCTATGCTATTCTAAGGACATTACAAATGGCTTTGTTTGTTTTTCATGCAGGCTTCATTTATACATGTTTCAATTTTTTTTGTTTTTAAGACTTTGAAATCACACTTACGTGTTTTAGCAATTAATGAATCATGCAGGCTCAAAAAGGGTTCAGTAATCTAAATATCAGATCTTTCTTATTTAATTGTATCTTATTAGAGTTATAATTTTGATCTTAGACTTCTTTGCATGCCAGTTTTTCTCAAGCTTTAGCACTTGTCAATTGGGGATACATACTATTCTTAACATTAGAGAGAAATTGAAAGAAAAAGTTCTATTGAGTGTGTATGTGCATCAACTAGTTCAGAAGAAAAGAAGCAAGTGGGATGTCAAGTTTTCTTAAGGTATAATTAGTAAAAACAATAAGAGACAGAACCACAATCCCCTAATCATTACTGTCTTACTAGGCTGACCACATTCGCTTTGGAATTGTTTAGATATAATTACAAAACCACAAACCTATTTCCTGAGATACATTATTTTTTTATCATCCCCTTTTTCATTTCTGTTCATGTTTCAGTTTCCCCTAAACATTGTAGTATTTAATTTCTTGTTCTAATCTTTACAATATTAGTAAAAGTGATTTAGAGAAATTGTTTTACTCTGAGGTTAAAAATGGTCCGCATTTTAAAAAGTGTATTATTTTTTTAACTGGTGGAAGTTTTTCAGCTTGTTAGTTTTTATTTCTTTGTCCATGAAAGAATTTTAGTTTCCCATCTACTAAAACATTGTCAAGTACTGTCCTAGAAGGATAAAGTAAGTAGACAGCTTCAATTAGTTTCAATCCTGAGTTGATTCTCAGAGGTTTCACAATTAGGGTTCTTACATTTGTGACCTATGAGTGGATAGCCTAACTAGAATAGTCACCGGAGGTCTTGGTGATATGGCTCCCTGGTCATTTGATATGCACCTCAGACTGTAGTCCGAGTTCAAACCCTGCCATCCTACAGGAGGTTTGAAATATCACCTATTAATCTGTTCTTCCTGAAAGAAAATATGAAATGTATACAGCTTACAGACACAAACAAAAAACATTTTGTTGCCTATCTAGTACAAAAAGTCCTCATTAAGGGAACACTTCACTTGACAGAGAGACAAATGATCTTAGCTACCTTTGAACATAATGGAGTTCCCCCCAGCACTGAAATAAAATAAACCCAGCATGCACATAACTCATACACTATCAATGATCTTAGCCATCTTGAACCATAATGGAGTTCCCCCCAGCACTGAAGTAAAATAAACCCAGCCTGCACATAATTCATACACTATCAACACTACAGCTAGTCTCTACACACACTTGAAACAAGTCTTAAACCACAGAAAGAAGTTTTATAAAAAAAAGGATGCACTGCCATTTCAAGTCACCGCAACAATACTCATCAGCTCCTCAGTCTCACCATTAGCTCATGATTGTGTTGTATTAGTTGCAGATTTCTCATTGGTTCTGTTCAACATTGGCTGATATTAATAATTTATATGATGTGTTTTTATGTTTTGTTGTTCTGTTTGAGTTCCTTTACTCCCCCCCCCCCCCCCCCCCCCCCCCACGTGAAAATTTTATTTCAATGTGAAAGTTTCTTTTGAGCTAGCCATATTATTTAGTCAATGGTTAGGACTTGTGTATCTTTGTTGTTTATGACTATTGGATCAAGGGGAAACAATTCATGTAAAATACAAAGGGAAGATTTGTGGGACTTGGATAAAACAGAAAATGTTGATATCCGGGTCACTCACAGATGTTCTCATATCATGACCTATAAAATATAAATATATTAAATTCAAATTTATTGGAATTATAAAGTTATGAAGCACAAAACTGTGTCCTGAGTTACATTTTTTAATGTACCCGTACTGGCTGTTTTTGTGTTTGTTTTTTTTTTTACTAAGCAGTTCTTTCAGCACTTTGATCATAGTACTTTGGACAGATAACATGACCCTCATTTCTACACACAATGCGATGAAAGCAGGGCAGGAGATTTACGCTAAAAGCTTAGGAAAGAAAAGGGGGTAAGATCTGTTTTGATGTACCTACAAAATTTCAGTCTACTATAACAGAAATGTAATACTACCCAATAGTGTAGGAGAGAAAATAATGGTGTCGGGTATTTTAAGAGAAAAATGTCTTGTACTGTTACTAATGTTATGTCATGTGGACAAAATATGTTTCAAACAGCCAAAAAAAAGGGACTGCCAATTAATTACATTTTCTAAATGACATAATGATTCGATTACTGAATGGTTGATGGTTATATAGTTGCTTATTGTTGGTTGTCACAGTTATTTGTTTCAAATCTGGCTTTTGTTGCTCAGGCAATGAAATACAGAAAAAGTAAAGTAATATGAAGAAATGTAATGGTGATATAATGGAACTGAATGAAAAACGTAAGAACTTTGGGAAAGCTTTAAAAATTATTTGAGAAGGACATCACAAGGCCACTGTGGCCAACTAAATCAACAAATACTTTGTGTTGCAATCGAGTTAGCTTTAACATTTACTGAATCATTTGTTGTATCTACACTTTTTGTAATGGCTGTCAGGTTTGAAAATCTTCAATCGATATAAAAGAGCCATTTTTAGGTTCAGAGATGAATAAAACAATGTGAATAGGTTTTGTTTTTATTAAATCTTTTATGTCTAGGTCTCGAAGAGTTAATAAGACAATGGAATGAATAGAAATGTGAACGTTCATTATAAATATTTGACCATGTCAGAGATGAACTTCAAAGAATCGATCCTAGTCCATCTTAAATGATTAGTTAGATATGACTTAAGTCATATTTATTTTGTTTCAACAGCGTTCATTTCAAACGCTTCTTGAAAAGGAAACAAAATTGTGTCGGTAGAATTGAAGAAAACATCAGCATCTCATTGTAAATTAAAAGAAAAAGTAATTTATAGGCTACACTGTTGTATTTATAAAAACAAAAAGATTCCACCATTACTATAATGTCATGTTTATTATAATAGCTGCAACTTTTCTTTGCGAATTAAAATATATATTATTCATTTCTGAACTTCTGAAAGTCTGCTGGGCTGTGGTTTAAAAAGTATAAATGTTTTTTCTAGGAAACAATATATCCCAGAGGTCACCAGTGTGGTGTAGGGCTGATAATTACTTTTCCATAAACATCTGTTCAACGCGCTAAGCTGAAAAAACGACCCAAGACGTGTCATCTCCAACTCAATCTCGCTTTAGAACTCGAGGCTCTGGAACACTCGCATATAAATCTCACGTCACGCTCAAAGAATACGCGAACAAAATATTTGTCTGGATTTCCAACAAGTCTAGAAACATGACATCATAAAACTACAAATTCAGAATCTAGATCTCACCACGCAGTAGATGAAACAGTTTGTCTGACGCGTGATAGCTAACGCTGGTTAAAATGAAACAGACATCGTTTTGAAAGTTTTCATGTGCAATTTAATCTTGGTTTTAGTTTTATTATTAAATTATTTTTTGAAGCTTATTTTTCTGCTTTTTAAAATTATTTTGTTTTACAACGCATCTGCCTTAATCTCACAAACCAATTTAAGGTAAGCTGCATTTCTAAAAATTCTGATGGTCTTTACTATTACAGATATATATCGCACGAGTTGTAAAGCAATGTGTTGACTCTATTGCATGTTGTTGTCTCAAAGACTTAGTCAACTGTTTAATTTGGGATATCGCTAAATTGTTTCGATTGATAGAAAATATTTGCTGTAATTTTTTTTTGGCCATAAACTATATTCGTTAGCGCAGTGTTTTTCAACCACTGTGTTGAAACACTGTGGTAAGATTTTTTTGAGTAAACCAAGAAATTAAAAGTAATTTTAAAATGTATTTCAAAAATGTATAAAACTAGTCGAGTCTCCTACAAAGACAGACATGTTCGTTATTGTGAGAATTACTTGGGAAAGTTAAATTGGGGTAAAGAATATAAAATGTGCTATTTATTTTTTTTCTTTCAGCGCAATCAAAACCAAATAAATCTGGTTATGTAACTTTGAAATATCAAACCAGACAACAGATATCACTTCACCTATCCCTCAGTCAGTTGGGGCACCACGCAAGATTTGTCTTTTGCCTTGGATAGAACCTCTTTCAGTGGCAGGCCCGTCCATTCTTTTATTTTGTCTTACCATCGCTTTCTCTGTCTGCCTCTTCTTTTTTTTTCCTGGTACAGTTCCCTGAAGGAAGGTCTTTGCGAGCCCCGAAGACCTTGTAATATGTCCATATAGTTTTCATTTTTTTACCATAGTTTAGCAGGTCATCGTGGATACATTCACTGCAGTAACCCTGTCTTTAATCTCTTAGTTTGTGATGCGGTCTTTGAAAGTGATGCCGAGGATCCTTCTGTAGCATCTCAATTCCATTGCTAGAATCCTCCTCTCTAGCTCTGCAGTCAGCGTCCAAGATTTGCAAGCATATAAGAATGTGACCATTACCTGGGAGAGCATCAATCTGACTTCGGTGTCGAGCGCTATGCCTTTCTCTTTCCATCAAATATAGGCTACATCGTTGTAACAAAACCATCAGATTCTATTACTTTATATAAAGTTTTTGTTAAGCACTCTACCTAAATAAATAAACAAATGAAACAAAAACATATTTAAAATGATATTAAGACTTAGATTTAGAGCCATTTGAGACCGATTGTAGTGAAAATGAAGCAAAATCGTGCTAGATGATAGATCCAGTATTGAATATGTTAAATCTAGTCTAGCGAGAGATTGGAAGGCAACTCAATTTGACATGATATTTTTATGTTTTTGAACCCTGTAGCCCTATTTATGACTTATAATTAGATGCTTATCTCTAGGTCTATTTTTCTCTATAATAAAAAGAAGATTTTTTTAGTTTTTATTAGTTTTTTTTTCTTTAAATTTAGTAAAAACAACAACAACAAAATAGATTTTTAAAAATAACTTATACGAAGTTATATCCCTTCTCTAAGGGATGGGGAAGATAGATTCTCACACCTGCTTAATGATTAACTCTCTAATAACATTCACAACTAGATAAACACGTGAATACGTGTAGGACTTAATTATCTTTTTTTTAAAAAGGCTGTAATTCATACAATAAAATAACATTCAACTGTGACATTGAAATAAGATGTTTTTCTCTTTAGGAACAGATCCACAATGTCTTGGATGATCAAAGTGTCAAGTTTCTGTCTCTGTACATGCTTACCTCTTCTGTTGGCTGAGCCTGTGTTTCTGACACCATATATAGAAAGTGGGCGCATACAAGAAGCACAAAGAGACAGTCTAGTGAACTCGTCCAAAGGTCTTTCATCTCTCCTCCCAAAGAAAAGTCATGCTGGATTTATAACTGTCAATAAAACGTTAGGAAATCATTTGTTTTTCTGGTATTTCCCATGTTTGGAGAACACATCGGCACCTCTATTGGTTTGGCTCAACGGAGGTCCAGGCGTATCTTCAATGTTTGGATTACTTTGGGAAAATGGGCCTATTGAAATTTCTTCAGAAGATAATATTTGCAAGTATAAGCCAAGGAAACACTCCTGGACGAAATCATTTTCTATGCTGTACATAGACAACCCGGTAAATGTGGGATACAGTTTTAGTGAAAGTGGTCCAGCTGGTGAACGATTAACTCAAGACAGTGTCAGCAAAGATCTCTACTCATTTATGGAGCAGTTTTATTCTTTGTTCCCTGATTACAAAAAGAGAGAGCTTTACATCGGAGGACAATCTTATGCTGGTAAATATGTTCCATATCTGGCTCACGTGATACACACGCAGAGGATGGCCAACGCTTCGGATATTCCTCTTGCTGGAATTTATATTGGTGGCCCATTTTTTGATCCGCCAACTCAGAGCCCTGCATTTTTCTACTATCTCTACAGCATGGGGGCTATCAGCCATGAGCAAATGTTGTTTCATCAGAAAACGGTTGAAAATTTGTTTCGGGATTACAAAAACGGACAATTAAAGATAACCAATCTAAGCCACATTTTCCCGACTTTGGTGCCTAGGTTAGGGTTTGATAGCAAAGACAATTACTTGTCGAATGTCAGGCCTCGTTACGACAAGGCTTGGAAGTTTATGAACACTGTAGAAGTTAGAGAGGCGGTTCATGTGGGCATCAGGAAATTCCGAGTTATCAATGAAAATATCTTTGACAGGTTCAGCTCGGACATCTTTGTCAGCGCCAAGGATAAAGTAGGCGCCCTATTGGAACACTACAAGGTGTTGATCTTTACCGGGGACAGCGATGTCATAGTCAGCACCTACATGGTAGACACCGCCCTGATGAGCACCCCATGGTCGAAGCAAGCCGAGTTCATAGCGTCAAGCAGAACTCCGTGGTGGTCTGTCTCCCAGACAGGGCCGGAACTGAAAGGGTTCTACACGTCCGTAGGTCAGCTGTGCCGAGTGGTGGTTAGAAAAGCTGGTCACCAGACACCACATGACCAGCCAGAAGCAGCACTGGAAATGATGCAACAGTTTGTAAATTATGGCTGCCTGAAGGGTGACGTAAAAGTCCCAAGGTAAGGTCGTTTCATCATAATAACAAGGTGTATTACTATCAATAGTCTGTCAAACAGTAGCGAAGATTTAAAGTAAAAAGTTTGTTTTCAACGTAACAAATGTAACGGAATGATTTAGTAGCAATTCGACATTATCGTCACCGATTCGACAATAGGGTTTTGAGATGGTTTTGAGATGCAATGAAAGGAAGTGCCCAAACTAGGCTTAAACCTAAGTAGGATAGTCCCCAAACTAGGCTTACCTAAATGTTTTGTGCTAGTATTCTTCGCTTAAACTATCTATATCCCTTAAACCTGGCTGAAATTTTGATATTTAATCTAGATATAA